GAACTTGAAATGGACCAGGGTGGGAGCGTTTATACTGGAAATCAGCCAATGCTACAAATCAGGGTTCTCCTCTCCCCTAGGGCCAGTTTGCCAGCACAGCAGCCTAGAACCATGGTGTACATATGGGTACTGCCTAGCCTGGTTAGGGAGTCCATTCAGTAAGCGCTGATCTAGTACATCAGCTAGACGGCTGACTCTAAGGCAGTGGTTCTCAACCTTCCTAATGCCGCGACCCTTTAATACAGTTCCTCATGTTGTGGTGACCCCCAACCATAAAATTATTTTCGTTGCTACTTCATAACTGTAATTTTGCTACTGTTATGAATCGTCATGTAAATATCTGATATGCAGGATGTATTTTCATTGTTACAAATTGAACATAAGTAAAGCATAGTGATTAATCACAAAAACAATATGTAATTATATATGTGTTTTCCGATGGTCTTAGGCAACCCCTGTGAAAGGGTTGTTTGACCCCCAAAGGGGTCGCGACCCAGGGGTTGAGAACTGCTGCTCTAAGGTATTAGGTAATGCACTTGGGATAAATCAATGAAAGATGCAGACACAGACCTTGCCCTCTCGGAGTTAACAATCTAGTGCAGTGATGGCGAACCTTTTGACCTCGGCGTGTCAGCATTTTGAAAAACCCTAACTTAACTCTGGTGCCGTGTCACATACAGAAATTTTTTGATATTTGCAACCATAGTAAAACAAAGATTAATATTTTTTGATATTTATTTTATATATTTAATGCCATTTAACGAAGAAAAATCAACCAAAAAAATGAGTTCGCGTGTCACCTCTGACACGCGTGTCACAGGTTCGCCATCACTGATCTAGTGGGAAAAACAGAAATGATGTTAACACCGTCAACTCCATTGTGAGTAATGCCACAAAGGAAAAATACAGTTGACTCTTAAACCACATGAGTTTGAAATGCTCGGGCCCCATTATACATGGATTTTCCCCAATAAATACATGACCCTCTGTATCCATGGGTTTCTTATCCGAGATTCAACCAACTGCGGATCAAATAAACAGCATTTTTACATGACCGACCTGTGTTCTCCAACTGTGGATCAAATATACTGCTTTCTCTCCGCAGTTGGTTGAATCTGTGGATGCAAAGGGCCCACTGTCGTTAAGTTTCGGGGGAGTCAAAGTTATAGTTGGGTTTTTTACTGCCTCGGGGTCAGCACCCCTAGACCCCTGTGTTGTTCAAGGGTCACCTGTATAGGGTGCAGCAGCCACTCACCCTGTCCGTCTGACCTGCAGCTCAATTCTCGAGCATTTTTAATGGAGAAGCAAACACAACTGCCTGCTATTTTCTCGGTGCTCACACCTCCACGCAGCATTTCCCATCAATAATAGGCCACTTTTGCAGCGCCAGGCCGGCCACTTCGTGGGTTCTCAGAGAGGTTTTCAGCCTTAGGGGTGAGAACCACAGCGCCTCCTGAGCAGTCTCAGCAAAGCCAGCCTCCTCCTCCACTGCACCTGGCCAGGCCAGCTCCCTGCCTCTCTTCTGCTCCCCAGGACATCATCGTTTCCATGGGAACCAACTCACTTCAAAGGGAAAGGAAGGAGACTGGAGGGGAGGAGGGAGTGTGGAAGCTGAATTAACCTCCCCTTTTGGCCCTTCTCTGTGCTGCTGGCAACCTCACTGCCAGGTCCCAGACAACGCCCGTCCGTCTGTCCGCCAGCACAGACATGGGGCCACGGCTCAAGCTACACTTTAACTTCTTGGGGGAAAATCCTGGGGTTTCGGTGGGGGCTGAGGAAGGAGAGAACTGAGTGGGTCCAAGCCTGCGATCCCCACTGTACAGGGCCTCCTTCTCAGACCCCCTCAGTATTGTTCCCGGGCCACAAACGCAATTACCCACGATGTGCAGCCAATCACCAGGTCTGCTCAGATTAGACTGCGGTCATTAATCTGAGCGGGACTCCTGGCTGCCTGGCTGATTAGCCCAGATGATGCTCTGGTCTGATCCAATTAAAGACAGACCGGGTCTCCCCACTACACACACACACACACACACACACACACACACACACACACCCTCCATATCAGCGGGAACCAGTACACTTCATGAACACATCCTCATACACAAACACAACCTTGCAAACCTTAGGGGACTGGCAGGCTCCCTCCCTCACAGGTGCGCCTCCCTTTGTCCCACTGCCCCTCTGTGGCCCTGCAGGGGCCGGGGACTTCTCTACTCTTTCTTCACCTGTGGTTCTGAGAGGGGCTGTGGTGGGGGCTCCCAAAAGTCAGTGTGGGCGCTAATCTGAGTCAAAAGGGTCTCATTACATTTATTGACATGAAATGCCAACTCCCTGAAGTGCTTCGGAGCAGCCGGACTGCCCCAGGCAGGCAAATCTAATTAAAATCACCCGACCCTCCTGGAGGCTGAGTTCCCTCCCAGTCATGCAGGAGGGCTGTAGAGAGGGCAGCTGGTACTAATGGGAGAGGTGTGCTGTGAGAGACAACCTGGGGCAGGGGGCAGGCAGGAAGGGCTGCAGAGCGGAGAAGCTGGGGGTGTTGATGACCTGAGATGCGGGGTCACCATGTTTGCTGGGCAGTTGGGGGGCCACCTGCAGAGATAACCTGGGCAAACACCAAGGGCTATGGGGTGGCCAGCCTGAGGGAGAGGTGAAGATTGGGTGTGAAGGCGAACAGGAAGGAGTGACATCCTGATGGGCAGTTCCCACAAGGGGGGGTGGCTGTTTCCCCTGCAGCCTGGCCTAGGGGTGGGGGTGGGGGGTAAGGGGAAGGAGCCTGGGGTCCTGGGAAGGGCTATGGAGCCCATGGAGCAACTGGTAGCCAGGGGACCGCTATGGTTTGAGCCAGACGTGGTGCCAGGTACTCACATGGCTGTCTCGTGAACCCTTATCACACCTGCTGCTGAGGCCCCGCCAAGAAACTAAAGCTCAGAGGCAAGTGCACCCCTAATCTGGGGATCCCTCCAGACTTGAATCTGAGCTCAGTACAGGGCCCGGCCCCAGGGCTCTGGGAAGGTGCCCAGGATCAGTCTTGAGTGGGCATGTGCATCACCTGGGGTCTTGTTAAAGTGCAGATCGTGCATCCCGAGGTCTGGGGGAGCTGAGATTCTGCATTTCTAATCAGTTCCCAGGTGCTGCCACGCTGCTTGCTGTGCCCACCCTTGGAGCCACAGTGATCCATGGAGCATCGTGGCTGTACCCCCCCGTCATTGGGCCACCAGGCAGTTCCGGAGGCCATGATACTCTCCTCTCCCTTCTCACACCCAGCAGGGCACCAGCCACCACACAGTTAATTTACGGGTGGCAATGAAGCCGCGTCTCCCCACGCCCAGCTCTGGCTCCTGGCATTCCCAGAACACATCAGGTCTACCCTGCCTGCAGGTCCTACTCCACCCGCTGCTCCTCCCGTGAGCTCTCTTACTGGCCTCATACATTCTCTCTGTGAAGCCTCTGCTGTTAAAGCTCTGACCACTGTGTTGGTTTCTTTTCGGGGGAGACAGAGAACAGCCCATGCACTTATCTTTTTAGGGGTTTCCTCTTTCCCCAAGAGTCCAGCACATATAATAGCAGGGGTTCAATAAGAGTGTGATGGGAAGGAGGGCAGGGATGACAGGAGTGCCGAGTCCCATGATGGGGGAGGCTGGCTGGTCCCCTAGAGTCTAACAGGGACTGTGGCCAGATCCTGGTGTTCTTTAGGGTCCAAGGTGGAGTTTCCTGCCTGCAGGCAGCCGGGCCGGGCCTTGCATTGGGGTGGGCGGGCAGGCCCTGTGATGTATCTTTCGTCAGGCCTGGCAAGCTCCCCCGTGCCAGGATCTATGGATCAGAGCCCACTGTTCTGGACTCCCCACTGTTAGCATTAGAGGCCGTCAGCTCATCTGAGTAACTAAAAATAATGCCAATGATAATGATAATAACAGCAATAATCGCCACCATTACCATAAAGGCACTGTCATCTGGGGGAGGGGTGGGGGGTGAGGAAGAGAGAATCAATCTTCTTCCTCTCCACCCTGGGTGGCCCATTGCACATGTTACTGACATTAGCACCTGCTGCAGTGTGTGCCCAGCCAGAGGTAAGCCGAGCTCACTGATGCACCTGAATGCCTACGCTCACACGGCGAACGTGAGCCAGGGTCCAGCCTCAGAACTGAGTGGGGCCCAGGCATCTTCTCTTAGTGGACGAATGAGAGTTCAGTCCCTGCTGGAGCCTCATTCAGTCCCGCTCTCAGATGATGCCAGCTTCTTCCCAGCCACAGACGTAAACAGGAACTCCCCCGAGCTCCTCCTCCCTCTGGACCATTCTGGGCCCACCCTGGTGCATGGGCTGGTGCAGAGCAAGATGGGACGAGTTCCTGCTCTCTGCCCCCACCTGGGGGAGGTGCCAGGACCTACACAGCTGCACACACACCTGTTGCTAAAAACCCAAGATGACCATGAATCAAAATGTGGTTCCAGGAACAGCTGCATTGGAGTCACCAGGCATGCTTTCACAAGTTCATGTCGCTATAGCCTGACCTACAGACCCAGCATGTCTGAGCACGGAGCCCACAACATGCATTTAACAAGCTCTCCAATGACTATCAGGCACACTAAAGCTCGCATCATACCAGGTGCTAGACGCTGTGATAGATGCACAGAGCTCTTGCTGGAGTAAAGGCAACAGTGAGACGAGGCAGACAGCAGTCCCCAGGCAGCTGCCTGGTTGCTGAGTGGAGGGTTTCTGGCTCATTAGGGCTCATCTCCCCAACTGGGATGAAGAAGGGCTCCCCCTGGAAGATACTGCCCAGGCCCTCTTATCCCTCACTAGACAATTCCAGGCTGCGAGCGCCAACCCCAGTGGCCAGCTGAGGGATCTCCGGATTGATCTGAGAGAGAAGGCTGAGAAGGGAGCAGCTGCTGGTCATTGTCTTTGACGAGCCCACCCACTGGCTTGCAGTCTCATCTCTCACAGCTCGGGCCTGAGGCTGGTTGGGGCTTCTCAGCACAGCTGAGGCGTCTCCTACCTGTACACAGCTCGCTTGTCAGCCTCCAGCTGGGCCTGGGGGTCAATGGGGGCACTGGGCACAGGAGTGCTGGCAGCAGCAGTGGGTGCGGAGATATGGACAGCCTGGGCCTTAGAGGGTGTCTGAGCAGTTGCCGTCATCTGCAGAGAGAAGAAAGAGGAGGTGGTGGTTAGTGTGGCCAGGACACCTGGCTGGAATGGCTGGGGCTGCCTTGCCTGTGGTGTGTGTGTGGATAACAGAGTGTGTGGAAGGGAACTGTGCCTGTATAATGCGTGTCTATTTGTATATGTGCTACAGTCAGGAGAAAGCAGGTCTTTCTTCAAATGAGAATGTTCCAGAGAACAATACAGGGACATTCAAAACCAGGTGGTGCACAGCACACTTTAAAAGAGATGATTGTTGCCTGGCCAGTGTGGCTCCTGACCTATGAACCAGGAGGTCACGGTTTGATTCCCAGTCAGGGCACATGTCTGGGCTGTGGGCTCGATCCCCAGTCAGGGGTGTGTAGGAGATGGCTGATCTATGATTCTCTCTCATCACTGACGTTTCTCTCTTTCCCTCTCACTTCCTCTCTGAAATCAATAAAAAAATATTAAAGAAAGAGACAATTCTTAATGCAAACTAAGGTGGTGACCTCTGTCCAGAAGCAGAAAAAAAAATGATGAGCCCTTTAAATTGTGCCGATGAGTCATCTGGGATGTACTGGGCAGTGTTAAGTTTGATAACTTGAAGAGGAGGAAAAAATACCAGTAGCTGAGTTGTTCTCATTTGGGCAGGTCTATTCCATGTAACGCAAGCCAGAGGTAACTGTTTTAATGGTTTCGATTGAAAACTGAATGGTCCCCAGATTTGGTTGACCTGGTCACTTGAAGGTAAGTGGGTTTTAACAACACTGCACAGGCTTCTGTTCTTAACCCTTACAAATATTTAGTTAGAGCAGTTGTTTTCATCCTGTTACATGCTTTAAAGGTGCCTCTAGGGCAGTGGTTCTCAACCTTCTGGCTCTTTAAATATAGTTCCTCATGTTGTGACCCAACCATAAAATTATTTTTGTTGCTACTTCATAACTGTAATGTTGCTACTGTTATGAATCATAATGTAAATATCTGATATGCAGGATGGTCTTAGGTGACCCCTGTGAAAGGGTCGTTCGACCGCCAAAGGGGTCGCGACCCACAGGTTGAGAACCGCTGCTCTAGGGCCTTTATATATATATTTTTTATAATCAGAGAAACTCCTTTTAATATTATATATTGAATTTCCTGTATAAGATTTCATTTGAAGAAATGCTTAAATGGCTTTAAAACTTCTGATAACCATCACTACAGAAGATAATGCTTTTATGTTATATTTTCTTTAGTCAGAGGGATCCCTCAAATGCCATGAATGGTGACATGTCTCGCCTGTCTGTCGCACCGAGACAGCGCTGCCCTGGTGCCGTTGGGCTCATAGACTCGTCTGCCTCCTGCACTAAAGCTTCGCCCACACCCTCACCCCCAGCACCCATCCCCGACACAGAGTAGACGCTTAGTGTTTGTAGAGAAAATAAATGAGAGGGTAAATGAATGAATCCACCTCGAAAGCAGCAGGTATTTTATAGCTTAAAAGTTTATCATATGATCTAGGTTCCTGCTTTCTGGAAGAAAAAGTATTGTACTTCCACAAACACAGCACAGTATTGCTGGTGTCGATATCCCCAAGACATCTGCTATCTCGTTTCTCTCCATTTCTCTCCATTTAAGTCTCTGCTCAGACATAACATCTTCAGAGTAAAGAGCCCCTTCGCCCTTCTTCTGCCTTATTCCATAGCCCTTATCATGACATGCACTACATGTCTACTTGCTTAGTTAAATCTCTCCTGTCCTCAACTAAAATTCAAGCTCAAAAGGACTGGATTCATATTCCTAGCGCTCCGAATTGCCTGGCACTAGTAGAGGCTCAATAAATATTTGTTGAACCAAATTATTGTTTGAACTGAATTAATGAATGAGGGTAGTGAATGAGACTGAGACTATAAAAGAACTATATCTGCTTTACTATACGGTGTCCCCATCATTTTTTGTTAGGATGAAATAGCTTTGCTATTGTTGGCCAAGCTGGGGGAACTTTCCCAATCTCAGTGCACAAGAGGCTAGACAGCCATCAGGGTACCTGGAGCCCTACTGCCTTCTGTTATTAGCTTTGGCCTTGGACAAATCCCTTAACTCTCCCAGCCTCCTATTATCTTATCAGTCAGCACATTGGTGCCCTTTTAGGATTCGTGAGTACTAAAGAGATGTGTTAAGGAAGAAAGTAGAAACAAATGTTCCAATATTTAAAAGAGAAAGAAGGTGGAGTCAGAAATACTAAATATTGCTAATGTCCACAGTAACCTGGGCCGGTTTCTTTCATTCACAAATGCAACGGATTATTTCTCCAAATGCTACTCCGTTCCCTGCCATGTACTGGGCACTGTGCTGGGCACTGGGGTCACAGGGCCGAGTGCCTGCTAGAATGAGGCTCAGCTTCTGGATTTAACACGCCTTCTAAGCTGGCAGATGGGGCAGATGGGGTAGACATGGACGGTGTAAGTGACCTCAGCCTGGTACCTCCCAGATGTCCTTGTGGGAAACATGGAGAGACGTGCTGGGTGGACAGTTGTGTGAATTAGTCAGCTTCCCCCAAAGGATGACAACTGCGGGGTGTCAGTGAGAGGAAGGCTTCCAGGAGAGGGAATATACTTTCTGCCTGGCCCTCCTGTTCAGTACTCTCTCCCTGACTTAGAGGATGTCTCACGAAATGCTTAACAAACATGGGTGACAGGAAACTGATCCAAAAGATCTTTATAGATGTTGGCAACACTCTGAGTCTAACAAGATTCATTTTCATCTAATAAGTCGGCACTTAACACGTTTAGCACTTCGGCCAAAAAAAAAAAAATCAATAATTTAAGCGCCGAAGAGGGGAGACACAGTTCAGCGGCAGTTTTTGTTGACAGCAGGCTCATTAAGTCCGAAGTGTAATATGTCTGTCGAACAAACAAACGCGAAAACTGGCCTCAGCTAACGCTGCGCTCAGAGGCCCAGTCCGCACAAAGCCTCCAGTGCCACCCGTGGTGCTGGGACAGGGGCAGGAGGTACGTTTAGAGGAGCGTCGACCGGGGAAGGGACCCTGCACTGCGCCGTATGAGGACTATTGGAAGGAATCTGAAATGTGTAAGAGGGGGACGATGGAGAGACGTGAAAGCCCCTCTGAGTCGTCTGAAAGAAAGATTCAATTCTGTCCTGTATGCCCCGAAGGATCAAATTACAAACAGTGCATTAGATCTATATAACGTGGAGACAGATCTGGGCTCACCCCAGCTAAGTTCCCACCACCTCGCTCTCCAAGGCAGAACAGGCTGCCTCCAGGGGGGTAGTTTCCACTACTACAAGGCCATGCAGAGACGGCTGATCAGCTGGGCCCCCGTGGAGGGTCAGGAAGCTTTCTAGGTGGGTGGGGGTTAGGTGGCATCTGAAGTCCCTTCCAACACCGGCAGGCTCAGACGCCAGGAGGGTGCTTTAATGACCACTATTCCCCGCAGAGAGTTGGGGTGGGGCTTGGATCCGATGATGCATCGTGGGAAAAAGGGCTTGGGAAGCTCTGAAGTGCTCCAAGGGTGGAGGGTGGTGTTGTTATCGACCACGAGATTTCCAGGATGTGCTTCTTTCCTACAGCGAGGCGTGGCTGTGTCTGCACAGCCCATTCAGGGGTGAAATACAGGCCAGGCTGGTGCCCCGCTCTGCCCACTCAGGGAGAATTTCCTCGTGTACTTGAAGGTGAGCGAGGAGACAGGGCTGAGGGGAGGGGCTCCCCCTTCTCTCATCTCCCCTTTCCAGGCAGGGTTTTGAGGAAGGTGGGGGAGGCCTTTCTGGTTAAAGAGGAGAGCTCAGAAAAAAGTGTAATCAGAGGTGGCCACACTCTAGCACCCCAAGAGGCCCGGTTGAGAGGCTGTTGCTGGGGCTCAGAAGCGGGAGAGGTAAGAGAGCAGAACTAGTCTTGGGAGGATAGTGACTCGTTTATTTAGCTCCTGGGGGCCAATTCAGCAAACTCTGCATTTCCTCCAGGTCTGGAGAATGTGTTCATCTCCAAATACTAGATTTCTTTTTCTAGCCAGACACACCCTTGCTCAGGAACTGGGGCTCAAAGGGAAAGGCCCAGCAGCTGTCCATAAGGTCTGGGGCGGGGGGTATGGTGACTTATGGTGAATTTGGGGGTGGTTACCTGGAGGTACAGCCTGAAGAGCAGGAACAGGGAGAGACTGGATGGACTAGGACAGAGTGTGACTGCTAAATGACTGCTTGGAGCTCCCTGGTTCTGGCCTATGAAAGCCAACTTAAAAAAATTTTTTTAATTGATTTTGGAGAGGAAGGGAGAGGGAGAGAAACACAAATGATGAAAGAGAATCATCGATCGAACCAGGACCTCCTGGTTCATAAGTTGATGCTCAGCCACTGAGCCACATCAGCTGGGCATGAAACCAACATAAATCTTCAGGAGTTTTGCAAGATGGTTAATATTACATTGGTAGCTTGAAATTGTCCGTGGTGGGAGCATTACACCATAGAAATAGCAAATGCTGCAAACCAAAGCCTCTTCACCTCCACCCAGAGCTCTGCGTATAGGCATGCAAAACCCGGGGGCTGGCAGTCTAGTCTGACCAGGAAGTGAGCAGATGCTCCAGGGTGAGGGGAGGCTGGAAAGCAGCACACCTGCCTGCCGGCCTCAGGTGCTCTTATTGGCATTGGAATGCCCAATTGATGCTTTCTTTTCTGTTAAGCATCATCCTTGTGCAATTATAGGGGGAGAGTGGGCACCTTGTGTTCTAAGGAGCCAATAAAACATTTCTGCAAGCTTTAGTGCTTAACAATAATCTGTGCAATAGGTTAGTGCAGTGGTCGGCAAACTCATTAGTCAACAGAGCCAAATATCAACAGTACAACGATTGAAATTTCTTTTGAGAGCCAAATTTTTTTAAACTTAAACTATATAGGTAGGTACATTGTTATTAACTTAATTAGGGTACTCCTAAGGCTTAGGAAGAGCCACACTCAAGGGGCCCAAAGAGCCGCATGTGGCTCGAGAGCCACAGTTTGTCGACCACGGGGTTAGTGTGATCCCC